ACGCGACACACGCTCTCGCACGTTCCTCTAATTCAACGTCAAGCCGCGGCCACCACACGTAGGAACGAGCAATTTGTTTCATCCTAACCATCCCCAAGTGACCTGCATGTACCTCCTCTATTATCTGTTTCCGTAGTACGCTGGGTATGACTATTCAGTACCCCCAAACGATGCAACCGTAATCAATGTGCAGCTCTTCTTTGCGATAAAAATAAGGCTTCTCGCTTTCTATTTCTGATTCGTAAGGCCACCCGCTTAAGATGTAACCGTATATTTTTCTTAAAATAACATCTTTTTTTGTCTGCTCTGCCACATCCTTGTGACTCAGAGGAAAACGATCTTCAACAAAATGTATATACGACGCAGCATCGTCGTCCTCAATTTGATTATTTATTTTAGACAGGGGTAAACGCGACAAGCCGTCTGCATTGCCATTTTTCTCAGTAGACACGAATACGATATCGAAATCGTATGCTGCCAACCGCACTGCGTACCTCTGCAAACGGCTAGCAGCAGTTTGCGGTATACCATGTTTTGGTCCGAAGATATACGTGATCGCTTCGCAGAGTGAATTTACGGCCAAAGACGTATTGGTGATGCCTTGTGACGCCGTAAACGATCGCCAATGCTTCCTTGTCAATCTGGCTGTAGCTGCGCTCGGCGCTTGAGAGTGTGCGCGAAGCGCAACTCACTATGCGCTCACTGCCGTCTGGGTAACGGTGAGCGAGCACCGCACCGAGCCCGTATGCACTGCTGTCCACGGCGAGCACTAGCGGTAGTTCTGGCGAGTAATGTGCGAGTGCGGGACCCTCTACCAGTTTCTCCTTTATTAACTTAAAAGCATCCTCACAATCTTTGCTCCAATGCCATTTAGTGCCTTTAATTAATAACTTGTACAATGGATTTAAAAGAGTGCTTATATTTGGTATGAAACGCGAATAATAATTAATTAAGCCCAGGGCCGCCCTGAGTTGAGATACATTTTCAGGAATAGGTAAGTTTGCGATAGCCGCTACCTTGCTTTTGTCCGTGTGTATGCCGCCTTTGTTAATTCGATATCCTAAGTAGCAAATTTCGTCCATAAAAAATTCGCATTTATCAAATTTTTATACGTAAACCTGCGTCTTTTAAGCGCGACAGTACTTGCCTTACGTTTTGCAAGAGATGCAATTTATTTCGACCGGTTACGCAAATATCATCAATAAATGATAGAACATATTCGAGACCACTGAGAGTCTCTTCAATTAATTTTTGGAACATTTCCGGCAAGCACTTTAAACCAAAGGGTGCCCTACGATACACGAAAACGCCAATATGCGTTGTAATGGCGGTAAGCGGTTGCAAAGCTTCATCTAACATCACTTGTAAATAGGCATTTTTAAGGTCTAATTTAGTAAATTGCACGCCCCCACTTAATGCTGCAAACAACTGTTCAATACGGGGCAAGGGATAATGGAAATCCTTAAATAAGGGATTTACAGTGATTTTATAATCACCGCAAATTCTTATTGTGCCATCCCGCTTAATTATAGGTACAATAGGCGTTCCGTAGTCGGACCCCGCGTAATAATAGTACGCCGAGGTTCAGGCAAGGCGCCTCGTGCGCCAGGCCACCTCAAGTCCGTCGGATCTGTAAAGGCCCCTAAGGCCAACAGTGGCTCATCCAGCCAAAAAAAAAAAAAAAAAATCGGACCTATCCACTTTGTAAATAATGCCTTCCGCTTGTAAACGTTCCAACTCTCGTTCGACAGGTAAACGCAACGCTAATGGTAAAGGACGGGCTTTGCAGAATATCGGCGATGAATCTTTTAAATGTAACTTAATTTTAGTTTTGAACGTGCCTACACCTCCAAATACGTCCGGATATTCATCTTTTAAATTTAATATTAACGATTCACCCTTTTGCTCAATTTTATTATTAATATTTATTAATTTTAATTGCATCTAAATTTAACTTTCGTAACCAAACGCGTCCCAGTAGTGGCGGTCCGCCTTTACCGATAATAAATACCGACCACCCGCTCCCACTCGACACGCGCACCATTATGTACCCATATAGGATAATTGCTTCCCCCGTGTACGATTGTAACTTAATTTTGTCTAATCATAAAATTCGGTAAATGTAAATAACTTTAACTCCGGCGTAATTCAAATCAAATAAATTTTAAACGTTAGAGAAAAATCACTTATGAATTGATCGACAAGCAGAATTCGGCGGTCGCTTATAGTTTTCGAAAAAAATAAATAGTGAAATAGTGTGATTTTTACTATAGAAATCCGCCATTTTTTGTTGTCAATATGTCAATTCAGCTCGTATTTCTTGGTGGTCATAAAAAAAAAACCTAATATCGAAGGTTAACCTTCTAACCTAATCTATCCGAGTCGGATTCGCTCTGTGTCGGTTCTGTGATTCATTAAATTAAAAAAATCGGAATATCGATATGTGTATGATGTCGCCCGCTTCCTATATTTATCATGTTGGCAGAACTGTGTATTGAATTTTTGAAGTCAAACAAATAAATTGGTGGATTTCTTAGTACAAAAAACAAGTTTTAAATATTTTTTTTCTCGAAAACTATCCTTTAAAATTTATTTTAATTGAATTACGCCGGAGTTAAAGTTATTTACATTTACCTAAAATTCTTTCGACACCGCCGAGATCCTGCTACCCGTATCAATTTCGAATAAAATATTTGTACGTTCAACAAGTTACTTACAGTGATAGGGTCCATCCTTAACACTATTCTTAACCGCTAAAATGCGGTATAAGCCGTCACTCGCATCACTCCCGGAATCACTTTTTTCAATATAATTTTGAAACTTTGACCTATTGGCACTACCACTAGACACGTTTTTCGTGCACATTTGTGCCAAGTGTCCTTTTTGATTGCACTTGTTGCAAACGAACGCTTTATACCGGCACTTATTAGCTGCGTGACGCTCCTTCCCGCAACGCCAGCAAGCGGGCCGTCGCAAGCGCGCGGGCCCTGTACCAACGCGGTGCAGGCCGGCTGCGCCCTGCCCGAGTCCCGAGCCGTCCGGCGCTGGCACCCCGCCGTGGCTGCTGGCTCCGGCCGCCTCCGCATGCCGTTCCGCTGCCTCTAATGCGAGCGCCAACTCCACCGCCTTTTTGTAGTTCAAAGTGGGTTCCGCAAACAGACGAGAACGCATTTCTTCGTTTCGTAGCCCGGACACAAATTGGTCTCGGATATTTTCTTAGAGGGCAGCACCAAAATTGCAGTGTGTCGCTAGATGTTTTAAACTTTGCAGAAAGGCGCCTATGGTTTCCGTTTCTGTTTGTCGTCTCTATCTGAACAAATGCCTTTCGGCTATCTCCGATCTTCTGGGTTCTAGATGGTTGCTAACCAATTCGATCCACTCTTCAAATGTCTTATCTTCAGGATGTTGTGGGGCACATAGGTCGCACATCAATTCGTACGTCGCGGCCCCAACATGTGTGACTAACGTGGCAACACGTAGTTCATCTTTGATTTCGTTCAGTAAAATAAATTGCTTTACAAGCCGAACATACGCGTTCCAGTTATTACGATCATTTTACTCGAATTCGTGTAGCTTTCCGAAAGGCATTATTACTATTTAGTTGCACAAATTACCAACACTCGTCGCCAATTGATATGTTTTGAATTAAACAACACGGCGATCGGTTCGAGACTCGTTTAATTATTATAAGAAACATGTAGGTAGATGGTTACAGTTAGGTACACAGAAATGATTCAATCCACCCGCAACCACAATACATTACAGTTTTTACTTAACAATTTTGAACACAGTAGAGCATTGTGTTCGCGTGACATGGAAATTAAATTGATCATTGAGAATAGGTCTATGTTCTGTTATTGTATATATATAAATGTAATAAAAAAAAAAAAAAAATGCTGATCGTTTAAAGGCATTTTGGTATATCTTAGCATATGTAATCGCATTTTGGTATATCTTAGCATAATCGCATATTATTATCACACCCAGACATCCTTGCGCACTTTTGAACTATCAAACATACACATCGTATTTATAATGTGTAAAGTTAAGTAAAGTAACAGCCTATACATGTGCCACTGCTGGGCAAAGGCCTCCTCTATACAGAGGGTATCAGGGCATAGTCCACCACGCGGCCACACTGCGAATTGGCGGACTTCACATATCTTCGAAATAAATTTTTTGGTTATTATTACGAAAATATGCAGGTTTCTTCACGACGTTTTCCTTCACCGCGGAGCACGTGATAAGTCAGCACTTAAAGTTAAAAACTTCATTGGTGCCGGCACCGGGGATCGAACTCAGGTTGCTCGAGTATATTGAATTAAAGGCGAGCGCCCGGACACAGCTATCACGGCTCTTCTTCTCCTCACGTGTATAATATGTAAATATAGATGAAGAGTCTTGTCCTCACCTATATTCATATCACTAAATAGTAGAAAACTATGTCCTCCCGCTGTCTGTCTGTCCCTATGTATACTTAGATCTTTAAAACTACGCCACGGATCTTGGTACGGTTTGTTTTTACTATATAGAGTGATTCAAGAGAAAGGTTTATATGTATAATAAATACAATGCACCCGTGCGAAGCTGGGGCGGGTGACTAGTATTAAATAAATTATAGAGTAGTATTGCTTAAATTCTTTAAATTTTTCACTTAAGCCATTAGATTAGAAACATAAATTTTGAAAAAACATAAAAAACCAGTTAGAAGCACATAAAAATCCGCAAAACAGTAATTGTTTGGTGCATAACAAACATATGCATAACATATAATTTGTACCAACCTTATGGCCTCAGATCTTTATTTTAATTGGCATTTATTTAGGCTTTTTGAAGCCCCTGGTAATAGTTTATCGTAAATCAAAATGTCGATTATAATAAAAGAATCATGGCGATTATAATAAAAGTTAGTAACACGAAAAACAATCACAAATTGAAAATTCAGGCGGTTGTTTTTCGACATTCCACAGCATTCTTCTCTGTCGTGCGTCGAAAGTTCAAACTCAGTTTATTTATGGTTT